ACCCCACTCTTGAGAATATGATTCAGTCTTGACAGAAATTCTCCAGTGTGTGTCCTTCTGAGTGGGAGAGGGAAGTGTGTGCAATGTCTCCTGCTGGGAGAGTCTGGAAACAGGGAACTCTGATGATTATTGAAGAATTACTCTACTCCTGGAGAAGACTCTACTCTGGCTTTTACATACTGAGGGGTGCAAGACAAGGGACTGTGACTGAGGCTCAGGTGATACAGGAATAGTGATTATCTGTTACCAAGTATCAAACAGGCTCCCACACTATTTCACACACCTTGTGTTCAATATATCAGATGCTAATTCCAAGCAAATGAAAGTGGTCTTATTTCCTCTCTATGGTAGGCACGATTGATTCTAAGTTGTTCCCCAACATTCATGGCCCTGGGTTTACATGCTTTGTATCATCCTTAAGTGTGAATGGGATCCATAAATATGAGTTGTCACTCTTAGGATTGCATTGCATTATCTGGGAAAGGGATTTTGCAGAAAACAAGGTCCTAATCAATTGACTTTGAGTTAAAAATTCAAATGAAAGGTAAGCTCATTCTCAGTGGGTCTGATCTAATCAGATGAACCCATAAATAAGACTAAATACAGCCACAAATACTTTGCTGCAGAAGCCTTGAAGAAGCAAGGTTTGTAAGTGTGGCAAAGCCCTATGTTTGGCCTCTAAGAGCTTGGAGACCAGCACACAGCAAGCAAGAAAACAATGACCTCATTTCATTGAGGTGTCACAATGGAACAACTCTTTCCCATGACCAGTCACCTTGGGAGAGGACCTGAAAGTCCCCCAGCCCCAGCCAACTCTTTGATTTCAGCCTGGTGAGATCCTGAGTAGAGAATCTAGCTAACCAGGACCCAAATTCCTGAGCCATGGAAACATGAAATGGCAGATTGTGTTTGTTCTGCTGCTTGGTTTGTGGCAATTTGTTGCACAGTGACAGAGACACGCACGCCCATTTTGTGTCAGCATCTCCTCTGCCATGTGGACTGAGCAGGATAAAGACAGGCTTGTTTGCTGTAGGTAGAAAGCAAGTAGGTGGTCCTGTCACAGGAACTCGAACTTAGCGTGAGTCCAGCAATAAGGTTAGCTCAAAACAGAACCAAGAATCCTACTGAGACTCTTGCAATGTGTCCTTTACAACAATCTCTCAATTTTTTTATAAGGCCATTAACTCTTACTTACAATATTAAAAACTGAAGTTTTGTTTTGGTAAAAGTGGGACCTAACTCACTAGGACAAAAGGGACAATTTTTCTGTGACAATAGTGGCATTTGATAATAAACCTGTAGCAAGTTCCTAAAGGACTGTAAGTACTGGGTCACCTGGGCAAACACAGGTCCTTCCTAGTGACAGGAAATCTAAATAGAGAGGGAGGGAAAGACTTAGGAACCAGCGTGGAAACATCAATTGAACATATGGCTGGTTTCAGTTTGTCTCTTGTGATGTGTAAAGGTCACTTTAAACCATTTTTTCCTTGTCTGTGAATAGATAGTCTAATGGACAGCCTGGATTTGAAGTGTTAAGTAGCGAAGTTGTCACTTTTGTTAAGGAACAGCAGTGGTGTGTTTGGGCATAGACTGCCATCTCAAAGGGAAGGCTGGGACTTTAGTCACTCAGGTGACTCACCCTAGAGGTGGCATTTCCTACACAGCCTCACTTTTTCACTTCTAAGAGTTGATCAGCTATCCTGTGAAAGTGTATAAACCAAGGGCAGAAATCCACTGGTTTCTGAAAGAGAACTTTCCTATGAGAGAAAAGATAGTTTTTTCCTCTTTGGTACACTCGCCTGCAATAAAATACCACAGGCCTGTTTTGAGAAAAGGAATTCCGATTCAAAACCTTATATGATTCAACTCCTGTGTAAGTAAGAGAAATTTCCACCCTGAAATAAACGTGAGTTAGGTTTAATGCTTTTACGGGGCCTTGCTGTGGTGCTTATTTTGAAGCCACGCTCTGGGTATTTTTTCATTAACCTTGTGTGAAGTAGTGATTTTTGCCACATAAAGGAGGACTTTGCTGTTTTTGGCAGCACTGGGGTTTGAATTAAGGGTCTCATGTATGCTAGGCAGGTCCTCTTCCTGTTGAGCCATTCTACCAGCTCTTTTTTTGTGAAGGGTTTCTTTTTGAGATGGGAACTATTTGCCCAGGCTGGCTTTGAACCATGATCCTCCTGATCTCTGTCTCCTGAGTAGTAGGATCATCGCAGGTGTGAGCCACAGTGGGTGCCTGGCCTAAGGAATGCTTCTTCAGTGCTGCTTGTTCTCTTTTCAGAGCAGTGCCTCCAGCATTAAGTGGCAAACACTTGGTAGTTCTTCCATTGCTTTATCTCACTAAGAGTCATCGCTCTGGGAGTCTGTCTTTCCACTCTCACACTGCCACAGTCACTGAGTGAACACTTGGCTGATATTACAGTATATGAAATTATCTTAGCTTGTAGCTGTTGTGAATGTTATCTTAAAAGCTCTGTAGTCTTTAAATCACTCTCACGAAGTTTTGATGTGTGTAAAAAAGCACCAGTCACTTGATAATATTGACAAGGAACAGAAGCATCTCTGACTGTATGGAAAGGGATGTCATCTGCAGATGGCATCTTTGCTTTAGGTATTACATTTTTGTATGACTTATTTCTGTCAACTTTTGTGCATACATTTAAATGTTAGTTTTTAAAAATCACACTATTTCTAATTGCATGATTGATTTGCATAAAATAAGATGACTCTGGAATATTTCTTGATAATTTGGTATATTGTTTGATGATGACATCATTACAGGAAAAGAGGAATCTATTACATTGGAAAGCTATTTCACAGGCATTCAGAAAAGCCAAGTGAACCATTCTGATTCAATGACAGGCATTTCTTCATGTGCTACAAATATATGACCCTGTGGTCAATGTGTATCTTCTTTCCATGTTCTTAGTGAACATGGCAACATCTCGCTGGTTGGATGCTCTTTTTCTGTGGTACAGAGTGATAATTCATGTTGTATACATGTGATTTTACTCCCTGGGTAAAATAGTATAGTTTGAAGTCATTGCAGTCACTTGCTCTTCCTCATCCTCCTTCCCTTTTCTTAGAACAATCCCAACAGGTTTCATTATTCTGTTTTCATATATGAATACAAAATACATCCACCATTTTCTCCCTCATTTACCCTTTCTTTATGCCCTCCTCCCTTCGACTGTATTCACCCCTAGAAAAGACCTGTTTTACCCTGTGTCCTTCAATTTTCAAAGTGTCTGTGGGTGTCCAAGGGGGTTTCGTCTTGGCAGTTCAGGCAAGTATACACCATGCTTTAGTCAGATTAACTCCCTACCATTACTTACTTTTCCTTTTACGTGTAAATATTGGTGAATATGTTTTCATTTCTTACCTTGACTCTCCTTTTCAAATGTGTCTTCATTAGTGGAGTTTAGATCTCACTGCCATCATCCCTCACTCGTGTAGGTCAAGGCATTCCAACTCAGAGAGATTCAGAATAGAATATCCATGTCATTGTCACTCTGCCACTGCCCAAGGCCAGGGCTGCATCCGAGGGAACCTGACCACTCTCCCTGTCGTGTGAGCGTCCTTGACCCCTCAGGAGTGTCACTGCCTGTCCTCACTGATTCAGAATTAATGGCAGTTTGAAAAAGACAAGACCTCAGAGGGAAGGAAATAGAGAGGCTGTGCAAAAAAAAGAGAAAATCTTGTTAAGTACTTTTTCCCAAGGGCAAGTTAATTCTGTTGCTGAGTCTCCTGAAGGATGCAATGTGGGGCAGGGGTGGATTTGGTCTTCAGTCTAGAACAGCATGTAGCTTTGAACTCCAACTCCATCCCACAGTGACCACCCAACTTCAGTGATGCTTTGAGTTCAGCGAATCTGTTGCTACATTTACAAAGGAAGAAAGAGGTGAAAATTTGTATTTGCCTGGATTGCTCTAAGAAATAGTGAAACATCTTCACCACAGGACTCATGTGATGTGATATGGTTTCTCCATTGTGTCCCTTCTCCTGACTAGACTGTGAATTACAAAGAAAGAATAAAGCACTAGCACGTGTGTTCATGTGCATTGTACTCACTGCTGCTCTGATGGTCAGGGACAGTTGTCTCAACCTGTCGGATGTACCTGGTGCTCACTGAGTGGTTTCTGCTACAGGTGGCTCAGACCCACGGCATGGACTCATAGTGCAGTATGTCCCCAGCACTGACCTTCCCACACTCAGTGCTTCCTGATCTGCCATCTCCTGCCGAGAGCATCCTGTCTCTCCAAGCAGACTCCAGTCAATGACTTATGACAGGAATTCTTTGTAATATAGGAAGTAGATAGTGTTCATCAGGTCTAAAGTATTCTGATGCAATCTTTGAGGTCTTGTAAGTATAGGATCATATCGTCTGCAAATAGGGATAATTTGATTCTTTTTTTCTCTTCTTTGCATCCCTTTTCTTTCTTTCTCTTGTGTTTCTCTGGCTAAGAATTCAATTACTACACAGCACAAGGGTGGAGAGAGTTGACACTCTTGTTTCATTCCTGATTTTAGATGAAATGCTTTCACTATTTCCCCATTCAGTATGATGTTGGCTATAGGTTTGTCATACGTAGCTTTTGTTATGTGAGAATGTCCCTTTTATTTCTAGTTGCTTCAGGGCTCTTATTATGAAGGGATATTGAATTACATTAAATCTATGGATCATGTTCCATAATATAGCCATTTACCCAATATTAATTCTGTTGATCCATGAACATGGACGTCTTGAGGTGATTGTGTGATTTTTGCCTTTAATTCAGGTAATGTGCTGTATTATGTTTTCTGAATTGCAGTTGAACCATCCCTGAAAAACTTACTCATTTCAATGTCTGAGTCTGGCTTTTTTAATATTTATTAAAATAATACAATGTCCCTGTGTCCTCAGCTACCTGTCCTGCCTCAAAGTGTTGGGAATTGGTGGATGCTTTAAAGTTTGTCAGGCTTCATGTCATTCATTCATTCATTCTTTTTTCTTACAGCAAACATCATCCTTGGACTATCTACCATTTGGGAGCAGCACGCCCACACCACAATTTGAGACAGAGAGGACAAAAATTTAAAACAGACTTGGGAGTTCTTTCTTCTATTTGTGCTGTCTTATGCCTTAAGGAACATTGCTGAAAGGCAACCATGTGCTGTCCCTACATTGACTTGATTCTTTGTTAGATAAGTCTATTTTAGTTTTCAAATTTGTCCTACTGTACATCTTTTGCTCTAGAGTGTGGTCCTTCTTTGGTGCGGCTTTCCTGGAGTCTCCGTGGAGATGTGCTGACCTTCAGTGAGATATCTTCCCTCTGTGTGGGCTGGAAGTCCTGATCTGTTGACACTGCACAGCCTTCGGTCTTATCATTTAATGTCTTGCTCTTACATTGAAACTGGAGTTTTGGACCTATGACCTAGACTCCTGGAATTCCATGTGTCAGGCCTGGCCATTTGACCCTATACACCAAATTAGCAGGCATGGTGAAGACAGAAAAAGATTTATTACACATCTCAGGCCATGCTGTGGGAAAGTGCAGAGAAATCACGCAGTCCATCGTTAGCCATCTTTGGGGTACAGACATGAGTTTTCACTTTAAATAGTCAAAGAATTACACAAAGTATGCATAGTTAGGCAGTCCCAGTCACAAGTGTGGTCTGGTTGGTGGTAATCTCAATCCTTGATCCAGGAGGTGTTTGAGAGGAGTTGTTGCCTGAAGTCATCATCACCAGGAGATGGTCCACCCTGAGAAGGCTCTGCTGTTAGGGCTACTTTTCTTCACTTGTCATAAAGATGTTATCAGTTCTGTCACTCCTGGAATGCAAAGTGCCTGCATACAGAATGGGCTAGTGCAAAGACAGATTCAAATGAAGGAGAGATGCCATGCTTTTCTCCTTGTTTTTAGTTAATTTGTGTGCCCTTGGAGGTTTTCAACAAAACAGTTTAAGCATCTCTTACAACATGAAGTGACTAGACCTAATGGAATCTAATGTGTGCTTGCAGTGAAACCTCTACTAAGGACTTACAATGCATTACCTGCAGATTCTGCCTTTCCTTTACCCTGAGCTGCTCTGTCTTCTTTGATACCCTGCCTAGAGAATTCCAACTCCTCGAGAGCTCAGCGATTTGATCTCTGCTCCATCAACTCTTCATGACAACTTCTAGGTTTGGCTTCTCTTTTCTGCTCAGCAGCAAGAAGTCCTTAGAAAGAAATTGGGGACTAGGGAGTGATCTTGGAGCTTGCCTGATGTGTTATTCTTTTCTCTAGAATTATATTCATGTACTGATTATTTCTCAAAGTATGAATAATGTTACCTGATGTATTTTGTCTGCTTTGTTGTTATTTTGTTATGTTTTGTTTTTTGAAAAAATTCTGGTGTGTAAGCCCGGCTGAACTGGAACTTCTTAGGTAGTCCTGGTTGGTCTCAAACTCAGGTTCTTCTGCATCAGCCTCATGCATCCTGAGATCACAAGTTCGCCTATATGCCTGGCTTTGCTGTTTCCTTTTAATAGTTGTTTTCATTGACTCTAGTGCCATTTATTTTATTGTTTCTGGAGGCAGCAACAACAATGATCTTTAAGAAAAATAATTCCCTAGGTAGATGAAAAGCAAGGATGGTTAAAGACTTGAACAGCTAGTATTTTTGCTTAGTCTAGATGACCTCAGGTGTCACAGCAGAAACTGAATTGGCAGTAATGCAGGAAAACAGCTAGTAAATTTTGAGAGTTACCTAGTCTCTCAAAGAACAATTTTTTCTTTGTTAAAATAAGAAACACTGTGCATATTTCTCTGAATTAGTATGATCATCCATAGAGAAAGTGAGGGCCTGGGAACATGCCTCAGTGGTAGAGCACTTGCCCAGGAAACTCAAGTCCCGTCCCTAGGGTCTGTCTCTCCCCTATAAAAACAGAGAAAGTGTTCTTTAAAATGCGTAATGTTTTTCCCTGTGTAATAGTTTCTAAACAAATGTTAGTGGTTTCGTTGAGACTTTCACCTTCTTGCTGCAGTTTTGCAGCCAACACACAGAACTAAATAAATAAGCTCAAAATGGAATAAAATACTGTGAAAGGATCAGATGCTGTGGAAATGACAAAGATAACAATCTATGAACTCTTGCATTCATTTTTAAAAATTCAGTTCAGAAATTGATGAAAAGAAGGTGGAATTCTTGTGTCACTGAGATTAAGAATTTGTAGCTGCCCAAGCAGGACAATTAAAATCTCACAGTAATATGAATAAAGTAAAATGATAGCAGTATGAGTCCATGTACAGATACTGTTAGAAACCATGTTTTGAAAGATCAAGCCATATATAGTGGCTGGCTGGACCCTGGTGGGATTCTAATGAAATAGGAGCAGGTCAAGTGAAGGAAGTGTCTGCCTATGTTGTAGGTTCAGAATGGTGGTTTATGTGTGGATCTCTGAACCCCATTGTTGTGTACATCAAGTTCATATCATTAGATGTATTATAATGCTTTGGTGGCTATTTTCCAAGGATTTGAATGAGGTGTGAATGAGGCCCTTCATAGCTTGTTTTAGAAAATTCTGACCAGTCTATGTGTTAATGATGCCGGTGCAGTCTGTGATCAGAAGACTTCCAAATTATTTGTGTCCAGTGGGGAAGAATCCATGGCAAGACATGTGGGTGTAAATGCAGTTTATTAAAAGGTAGGGAAGGGAAATACAAGAGGGAGCATGGTGGTCCCAGGTGGCCTCTGAAGGCTGAGAGAGCATGCTTCTCTTCCCCAGGTGCTTTTAAAACCTGTGCTAACCTATGGGCAGGGAGGAACCCAGTGATTCCCCTCCAGTAATCAATGAGTGGGGAGGGACGTGGGCAGTTCCCGGCCAGGTGAAGTAGATCCCTGACAGGGCATGATTAATCTGAGTTGTAATATTTTTCTGTGAGTCCAGAACTTTCCCTAATTTTACTTTACCTCAAATATCCCCTGAGAGACAAGAGCCCCCCAAAAATCTTTTTGAGATTGCTTAGGGGCTGGAATTGTCATTTAAAGTATGCAGATTCTTTGGCCTAATTTGAACTTTTTGAGGTTTAATCCTTTTTTCATCCATAATATAATCTAGATATTGGAACAGAGGAACAGTTAGTATTTTCTACAGGGCAATTTGTAAATCAGCATTAATTAATTGGTTTTGCAGGTGCATATAAATTTTGGTGAGATTTTCATGATGTTCTGCTGCTGGTAATATATCATCCATATAATGGATAATATTTGCTTCAGGGAGCAATAATGGGGTAGGTGGTATGGCAGTATCAACATAACTTTGACATACAGTGGGGCTATTCCTCACCCCCTGTGTGAGATGTAACCATTGATAGCACTTCACTGGCTCCTTATGATCAAGAGTTGGTACACTAGTGGCAGTTTTTTCCTTATCCTCTTCACATAATGGTATAGTGAAAAAACAGTCTTTCAAATCCATAGCAAGAGACCAATGCATATGGATGGCACTTGGAGTGGGTAATCCTGGTTGCAAGGGCCCCATGGGCTGCATAACTTTGTTGATAGCTCTTAAATCTTGTAGCAGCCTCCATTTTCCTGACTTCTTTGGGACGGTAAGATGGGAGTATTCTATGGACTGGTGGTAGGTTCAGTATGTCCTGCATCCAATTGTTGTTGCACCACTTCTTGTAAATGTTGTAATTTCTTCCCAGTTATAGGCTGCTGTTCCACACACACAGGTTCTTTAGTTGGCCATTTTATGGCCAAGGCTTTGCAGGTGGAGTGGAGGTTAACAGTGGCCAGTATGCTCAATTTGAATCATAAGAAATCCCTTTTCCAGTAATTTTTCTTTTAACTGTGATTGCCAAAGGATTGCTCTGTAAGTTTTTTCCTAATCCTAGTCCTTTTGGTAACTCATCCGTTATATAATTCATTTTCCTAAGGAGCCATTGTCCATACTTATCTTTACATTAATTTCCTTCATGATATGCCCTCCCCATATATTAAATGGTGTATCTGCAACATAAGGCTGAAACACTCCTTTTTTGCTTCACCGTCTGACCATAGTAAAAATTCATCACTTTGGCTGACCCATCCTGGCATTCCTAGCTCCACTAGGTTAGACTGGTTGCTTTAAAGGCCACTTTGCAGACCAAAGTCCTCTGGCCAAAACTGTATATCCCCACCAGTACCAAGCAGTCCCATGAATGCTTTTTCATTAATTTCAATAGTTAGCATGGTTTGTCTGCATTCACTGACTGTGTGCAGAAGGCATGTTTGGAACCCATACTCCCAAATCCCCCTATACATTGTTGCTGTTTGATTTAAAGGTTGATGCAGCAACCAGAGTAGTTGAGCTATAGATTGTCCTTTCTCAAAGGCCGTAGCACCATCTACTGACATAAGAATTTGTATCTCACCGGAATAAACTTCATGGACTACTCCTGGAAATCCTTGCACTCCTTTACTTGTAAGACCACTTTTACATCCTATAAGTCCCACTGTTCCTGTGGGGATGGGTCCATAAACTCCAGTGAGAACCTTTTGCACTCCCATACTTGGGGTGAGAGATACCCCATGGGAACAAGGCAAGTCTAGTCTTGCGCTCCCTGAGGTGGCTGCAGTGAGAGATGTGGCTATCCCTTGCTCACTGGATATGCCCCACAGCTGTTGATGGGTTGGGAAGAAGGGGCCGGGGGGAGGGAGGAGGGGGATGCTCCATCTCATGTTTCCTTGGTTTGAAGTCTGTCAACAAGGTTCTGTCTTTGTGATACCGAGATTGACATTTATTGGCCCAGTGATTTCCCTTTTTACATCTAGGGCACAATCCAGGAGCAGGTTTATTATTGTTGTTATTACCAGATGATTGGGATGCCTGATATTGGTTTAGCCTACACAGTCTTTGTGCATATGTCCCCTTTTTTCCATATGTGAAACATATATCAGGAGTAGGACGCAAAACCTGCTCTAAGGCAGCTATAAAAACTCCTTGCTGACAGACCTGAATACATTCTGATAAAGACCCTTTCTCTTTTATTGGTGCTAATGCCTTTTTACAGTCTGCATTAGCATTCTCATATGCCAATTGTTTAATGAGTACATCAGAGGCTTGGGGATGAGCAACCTGTACAACCAGCATACGTCCTTAGTCAAGCGATCTAAAAAATAAGGAATAGCCTCAGAAGGTCCTTGGAAGCATTTTTAAAAAGACTTATTAGGCCTCCAGGTTCTGGTAAAGTTTGCCAGGCACTGTGTGCACATAGGGAGAGCTGCTCACAAGCCTGAGGGTTAAAAGTTAATAAAGCCTGCACGGTGGAGGAGGCTCCAGCTCCTGTTGGCATTTCAAAGGTGACAGCCATGTTGTGCTGAGCATTAGTCTGCCAGTTTCTTGAGTAAAATCTCCAAAGGCTGCTTTCATTGCAAATAGAGACCTCCTGGCATAGCCACTTTGCCTATCTGATGCCAGTGTCAAGGAAGTAAGCACGGGTTACTTAAGGTCTCCCTCACACTCTCTCAAACAGTTTTTAAATCAGAGTGCAGATGTACCCTTTGATTTTCTCCTTGTTTGTTGGCTTGTTTTATAATTGGAAGTAACATTAAATCATCTGGATCCATAAAGTCAGATGTGTCTTTGTATTTATTCCAAGCCTTTTGGACAGGAGTCAACTCTTCTGGTTTAGGTTCTTTCACTAAATAAATAAATAAATAAATAAATGTATACACCCACACACACACACACATCAGGTTCCTTTTTAAAGGGGTTGGTTTCTTTCCATCCCTGTGGAGGATGAGGTGGCAGAGCGCTAGGCATAGGACACTTTTTACTTTCATTTTCCTTAAAAGGCTCAAGGACAGTTTTTTACCACTGACCACATAGAAAATATCTGTACTGGAATATGAGTGCACCGTCTGTCCTCCTTTTGTAATATTTTATGACTACAGTCCCGAACTTCAATATCCAACATCCCCTCCTCTGGAAACCATGGGCAATATTTGAGAACACAGTCAATAAGCTCTTTGATTTGATCAGAACTTACAGAGGCTCCAGATTGCTTTTAGACACTTTAGAAGGGAAACTAATGAGTGATATTGGATGAATTCTGCCACATTGTTACCCAGCCTTTCATATCTATACTACCTGATCTTTACACCCATAGTGGCGACACTATCAGGTGGAGTACACACACCTTACTAACGATTACCAGGAATCTCTACAGGTCCCTGTCTTCATGCCCCAACATTGCTTGAGCCCCACTTTGGGTGCCACTTGCCACAGACCTAGAGAGAAAACGGAGGGAGGGTGCATTGAAAAGAAAGACTAGTCAGCATGCAATTGTAAGCAAGGGGGAAGGCTGGGGATCTGAGAGAGGACTCAGACCCAGAGGGCCCCACTCCCTTGGTATTTATTGAGTTGCTGTATATAGCTATTGATCAGGAAGAGAGAAAACGGAGGGAGGGTGCATTGAAAAGAAAGACTAGTCAGCATGCAATTGTAAGCAAGGGGGAAGGCTGGGGATCTGAGAGAGGACTCAGACCCAGAGGGCCCCACTCCCTTGGTATTTATTGAGTTGCTGTATATAGCTATTGATCAGGAAGCATATGTGGTTTAATAGTTAACTTCAAGGTAAAACAGGATATATTCTTAAACTTCTGTGCTCTGAAAAACAGCATGTAGCTCTATTGAATATGAGTTTCTGTATGTTACCACATGAGGGCAATAGAACCCCACCTAACAGTGCCTTAGAAATTAAAAAAAAAAAAGTCATTGTATCTTTCTGACTTAAGTGGAAGGCAGCAAAAGCCTACCTTTCCCTGCTTCCCTGCAGGTGGGGGACAGTGCGCCCAAGCCTGCAAGCTGTGGGTCTGTGCGAGAGAGGCAGAGTGTTTCTTAGATTGGCAATTTCTCTGGAACTTAGAATTTAAAAGAAACTCATGGTACAGTAAGACAGAATTTCACAAACATTAAAGTAAAATTTATTAACTTACACTCTGGTAGCTTTGGTTTTACATTGTTTTGGAGAACAGCAATTTTGACCTTTGCAATTACCTAGATGGCTGGCTCAAGGCTCCTTTCTGGTGTGGTTAGCTTGGGTGTTGATGGTCATATCACTCCCACTTATTGGAACTGGAATATGATTTCCAGCTCCTTTGTTGAGAAAATGGGTGGTGAAACACACAGTTGTTTTCAGATGAATATTCACTACATTCTCAATGAGAAAAGACCCTTAATTAATGTGGGAATAATGGTGCTCCTGCCACCTCCCCCTCTAAGGAGATGGACTTGCTCAAGTGGTGTCGAACGGGTCACTTCCTGCTGTCTGTGAATCCACTGTAAATACATACTTAGATATAAAAAGCTTACTTTACATGACTTCCATACTATGAACTTAGCATTCTGAACTTGTCCTTGTTAACATATGACATGATCATATAGAGAGAAAATCTTAAAGACTTCACCAAAGAAAGTGACAATTAATAAATAAATCCAGTAAGGTTATAGGATACAAAATCAATGTACAAAAATCAGTAACATTTCTATAACGCAATGGTGAACTATATGAAAAAGACATTAACAAACAATCCCATTTACAATAGCTATTTAACAATCTAGGAACAGATTTATCTGAAGATGTGAAAGATGTCTCAATGAAAGTATAAATTGTTCATGATAGTGATGTCATAAATGAATGGTAAGACACACCATGTTCATGAATTACAGGAATTCATGCTGTTAAAATTTCCACACTACCCAAAGCAGTCTGCTCATTGAATAAAATCCCTGCAAAATTCCAGTGTTATATTCACTAAATACAAAAACAATTCTAAAATTCTTACGGAACTACAAAAAAACCTTTGAATGGCCAAAGCAATCTCCAGCAAGGAACAAAGCTGGAGGTGTCACAACACCCAGCTTTAAAACATACTACAAGCTACAGTAACCATGTAGCATGCACCAGGATAAAAATAGACACACAGACCAAGGGAGCACAGCACAGAACCCAGAAATAACCCCCTTACTTACAGGCAAATTCTATTCAATAGAGGCTAATAAATGCACTTGGGTAAGGAAACTCTGTAGTAAATATAGGAAAGTTGGTCTCAAGGAGATAGAGGACCTGTTTAGCAAGTGCAAGGCTCTGAGTTTAAACTCACGTACCACTAAAATACATAAATAAAAAATGCACAAAAGTCAACTCAAAATGAAACTATAAAACTACTAGGAGAAAACAGGGAAACCATCATACTGGTCTAGGCAAGGACTTTTTAGACAAGAATGTAAAAATGTAAGGCAACACAATAAGTCAAATAGACAGATGATTTTATATTTCACTAAAAAGCTTCCATGGAGCAAAAGAAATACCCAGCAGAGCAAGGAGACAACCTACACATGAGAGAAAATATTTACAAAGTATACATCTGACAGGGAAGTACAGTAATACCCAGAATATACAAGGAATTGCAGTGACTCAACAGCAAAAACCCAAATAACCTCAAAAAGTGGGCAAAAGAACCTGATAGACACCTTTCAAAGGAAGACATGAATGGCCAAAAAGTACTTGAAAAAACATTCAGCATCGCTAGTCATCAGGGAAATAAAAATTAAACCACAGTGAGATGTTACCTTATTCCAGTTAGAAGAGCCATTCACAAAATAAAAGAGGAAGGAAGAAAGGGAGGAGAGTATCCCATCCCCCTGGAAAGCAATATCATTCCTACATCCCGAGGAGATGGAGGCCTTCATTCCTGCATCCTAAAGGAGAGATACAGAGTCTGATAGATCTGCCACAGGGCTGATGAGCAAAATGCTCTCAAGATTGATTCCCCTCCCCCAATAAAGGTGCAACTAAACCTGAGAAAGCCCTCAATCCATGGCCAATGAGAAAACCCCACCTAACCCAGAATTAGAACAACCATAAAAACCCCAGCTTTCACCTGAGCAGTGAGCTGTCTGCTTCAAGGCTCTGCTGCACTTGTCTAGCTGTAGTCTTTCCTTTCTCTCTGATAAATCCTACTTCATTTGTAGGATTGCCGGCTTTGGCTCATCAATCAGTTGCCTCACGAGCCCATTCTCTGGCCTGTGAAGGCGAGGACCCTTGACACCAGCATGTAACATTTTGGTGATATATGAAGGGACTTTCTTTCTTCTGGACCAAGGTCAGTATGACTTGAGTGCCAAACGAACAGGGCCATGCCTAAGGTGTGACCATTGAGTGTCCGGCACCCTGCTGGATGCTCCTGCTGGGGAAACCCCCTGCTGAGGACTAGCCAAAAGCAGACTTCCTTGTGCTGCTCACCCTGCCTGTCTCTTCCTATCTTCCTGTGGTACTTTCCCATCATGGTGTCCAGCCAGCCGCTCCTTGCCAACTCTGGC